GTCTGTGCTATAAGAAGTTGGGATATGCCTACATGTTGTTAAGGCAACCGGATTTGCTGGGGTTGCATGTCCTGGTATGCCAGTTCCTTTACAAAGATTTGTGCGGCCGGCACAACAATCGCGCACTGCAGCTCGGCGGATTGCGAATGGCGACGTAGATACAGACAAGAACGAAAAGTCGGGTTTGTTTGAAAAGGAAGTGCGTTGGTGCGGCAAGATAATTAGCGGGAATGGCGCTCATCCCTGAAAGGATCCGAGCGCTGCAAGCATTGCCGTATCCGACGACTGCTGGTGAACTTAAGCCATTTTTGTGTGCTACAAACTGGATGCGTGATTCATTGATTGACTATGCTCGGATGGCAAGACCGCTTCAAAGCCGGTTTGACAATGCACTGTCGCGAGCTTCTCGGTGGACTAAGCGAGTAGCCGCGGGGATTGCAGTCTCCAAAATCGGTGAAGTTAATATTAACTTTGGGTGGAGTGGAACAGGAAGCATATTATGAAATGAAGCAAATCCTATCGACCAGTGTGTCTCTGGTCTTGCCAAAGAACGGGTCGACGATGTGTTTGTTGACGGACGCTAGTGATTCTGGCTGGAGTGTAATTGTTTCTCAGGTACACCAGTGGATACGTCATAAAGCAGTACATGAGCAGCAACGCGAGCTCCTGACCTGCATGAGCGGCACATTTACGAGATCGCAGTGCAATTGGAGCATCATAGAGAAAGACGCATTTCCTATATTGTGCGCCTGCGATAAATTTAGCTATTTACTTCTGCGGCTGGGTGGCTTTAAGCTGTACTGCGATCACCGCAACCTCTTATACGTTTTCGCGCCTAGTATATAGGTCAAGAAACATATTAGGGGGGAAATTGCTCAGATGGTCGACCAAGCTGATGGATTATCGATACGAAGTCGAACATTTAGAAGGAAGTGCCAATGTCTGGGCCGACACGGTGTCCAGGTGGACCGGTAATCACGAGCCTTCCGTCCGACTTAACATGATGAAACTCAGGAAACGGGCTCGCCAATAGCCCGATGACACGGTGCAGCGACCCAAACGCCGGCGACGCAGGAAGAACAAGCCTGCGGCACTAATCGCACATGACGAGCAGCCTTAGCGTATTTTGGTACATCAACTACGACCACTTGATGACTCAGAATTGGAATGACCAACCTTTGACGCTATCCGTGCCGTACAACAGCAGCACGCATCCGAGTGCCGCCGGCAAACAACTGGCGATGACGACACTGGATGGTTCATCGAGAACCAACCTGTGGATTCCTAGAACAGCGTTTTCACTAACTCCGAGACTTCTCATAATTTCTCACTGTGGATATCAAGCCCACCGAGAACTCGAAGCAATGATTACCAGTGTTAGTCGTAGCTTCAATGTGCACCACCTTCGGTCTCGTGTTGATCATTTTCTCTCGACCTGCTTGATGTGCAAGCACGTGGAAGGAGCCAACGTTGTACAGCGCCCATGGGAGCCTACTAATCGGACAAACGAGCGAAATGGCGCTCGATTTCTTGTCACTTGGTGACACATTTGCTGGAGACAGCTACTTGCTGGTGATGAAAGATGAGGCCACGCATTTCACGGAGCTGACTCCATATGCTACCCCTACAAGCACAGTTGTGGTGGACGCGATGCTCGCGTGGCACAGCAGGTTTGGGTTGCCCCACCTCTGGAGAAGCGACCAAGGATCCCATTTCCGAAAAGAGTAGACGCATGAAAGCACGGCATGACTTTACTGTTGCGTACTCGCCGTGGATAAACGGTAGTGTTGAGCGAGCGAACCGTGATATCATTCGAGTATTGCGAACTCTCTGCCTCGAGTACAAGGTGTCCACGCACGATTGGGCGCTTTGTGACAATGCTGCAGGCCAACTTGAGCCACACAGCGGTGCCTTCACTGGGAAACCGAGCTCCGGTGGAGCTTTTCTGTGGTTTACCAGTACCACCACCTCTCCACCTTTGCATGGATCCTAAACAACGAAAAATCATGGAGATTCCTCAGCAGCCAGAGGTGATATCGAGCTGGCTAGAGGAACTGCGCAGCAGTATTCGTGACCTGCACACACCAATGATTGAAGAGCAGGCACGACAGACCGTGCGCAACCAAAGACAGCAGAAATTAGCCCGACGTCCGAACTTCGACATCGGCGACTATGTGCTACTGTCACGGGTAGACCAAAAGCACTACGATAAGCTGTTGGTCACTTGGGTCGGGCCATACCAAGTCGTACGTGCCGACCCGCATTCTTTTGCTGCTCGACACTTATTAACGGGTGATATATCCGATGTGTACCCTTCTCGGTTTAATTATAATGCCAACAGTACATGTAAGTACCTATGAAGTCACGGAAGAACTTCGTGGTCACATTGCGGCCCAAGGACTGGTACTATCTGTGCAAAAATTACTACCTCGAAGTACAAGTTTAGTGGAATGAATCCATTCACGATTTTGAAGTACTCGTACGATGGAAAGGGTTGGAGCCGATTGAAGACTCCTGGGAGCCCGTACAACAACTGAAGAAGGACATACCTGTCCTACTAGCTCAGTTTGCAGAAAATACGGACGACGAGAACTTCAAGCGGCATGTAGCCGCACGGAACAACACCAAGCCAAAGCCAACAGGACGGCTGCCACGGAAAGCACAACGGAGCGTGCATTAATGAAGTGGTGAAGGCTTGGAATTTTGTACTCAGATGTATCCTAGGTAGACCAGTCGGTCATCCTCTAGCCCCGACCTAGAGTCTAGGTCCGTGAGCTAACCCAGGTATCACCTTCGCCCTTCAGACTCACGAAGCCGTCGCTGGCTTCGAAACCTGCACGCCGCATGTAGCGCAGCCTCGTGGTGTCTCGACAAATCTTGTCATGCATCTACAGGGTATGTGTCCTCATACTGGAGTCTCTACGAAGTGCATGACATTTCCTGTGATCGTTCGTACTCTCGATATTATGAGCTGGGTCTCGCGTCCACGGTGTCGACACGAACATCTTGACCTTGTGTAACCACCAGGTTACACCGCTGTACGCACCGCGATTCACCAACGTCTTCGCTACCAGAAAATGCTCTCTTTGAATGGCACACCGCAGCGGGGTAGCCCAGTCACTTGACCGACGTACGTCCAGTGCTGCACCTGCGTGGATAAGTGCTTCCACAACTTCGACATGCGCTGCGTCGAAGAGATATTGAGGCTCAGAGCTTGACGTCGCTGGTGGCGTGTCAGTGCTGAAGGCGTTGGGATAGTCACACGCGTGGTGCAGTGCTGTCATCCCACGTGCGTCCAGAGCGTTGACGTCTACAGTACCTCTGGACGTCCAATCAGGAAGCGTACAATATCTGCACGACCGAGTCGTGCAGCCAAGTGCAGTGGTGTCATTTGCTGTGGTCCACTAGTGCGATCGTCCGCATCTAGCGCTGCAGCTATCACTAAGAACTTGAGAATCTGTACGTGGCCGCTCTCGGTCGCGAAGTGGAGGCAGGTACCCAGCTCGGGTCCATACTCGAAATTTGTACCCAGAGGCGCGGACGCGTCCGTGCGTGCACCTTTCTGAAGCAGAACTTGAAGCACTTCCAGCTGGTTGTATCGTACTGCGAGTAGTAGTGCTGTGAGGGCCTGTACGTCGCGGATCTCCGTGTCGGCGCCATGTCGGAGCTGGATTCGAGCTGCGTCTGCTCGGCCGCTGCGTGCGTACAAATGCAGCAAAGCGCTCGTCGTCCAGTCGGACATTTCTGTGCAACTGCAGCGACCCCTTTGAACCATGACAAGTGTGTGTGTTTCTACTGCTCAGTTGAGTTGTGAGCGACTTAAGTGAGGGGATCCAGTGGCTACAACTCAGTGTGGTATATGGTTGAGAAAATGAGCTCATGCAGAAGCGGCAGCGATGCAGCTGAGCGCTTCCTCACGCTTTAGCAACTTCTTCACACGGCCCCCTTGCCTGTCAAGGAGGAGGGAAGGGGGGGGGCGTGCGAACAAGTTGACTTGAACGTTTCGCCTTGAACGTCAAGTGAAAGTTCGCGTGCGGGGGAGACCCAGTGGAGGTGAATGGTGGATGTCATCCACTGGATGAGGTCAATGGCGGACTCTTAATGTGCAAGACATATTAGATCTCCTGCAGAAGGCCACATTTTGACAACGACTAGCGAAGCTTTCGAACGAAAGAACGCTAGTTTTTTACGTTCGACAAAGTAGTAGAGGACAAGAGTAATGATGCTATCAACAGTATTCACCTGAATTAAACACGAGCCTCTCTCGCTTACTCCCAGTTGGTGTCTGCACGAACACTTTCTGGAATGGCAATGGTAATTTTCATCGACGCGGCATCGCTGGCATCGGCTTCCCGACGGCAACTCCAGCCACGCTTGGACTCGTTCTTTTCATGCAGCGCTTCCAGCACCATCAGCAGATTTGGAGGAGCATGTCTTTGCTCTGCAATAATGAGAATGGCTCCGTATCCAATGGCACTTGCGTCCACCATGCCCTGCACTGTAGTATTTGGTGCAGGAACCGGAGGAGGAGCAGTGACGTTTGAAGGTGCAGAGGAGCGATTTGAAGACGGTACCGGGTCAGTACTGTTTGACCAGACTGAATAACGCGAAGGCGCAGGCGCTGGCGTGGAGCTCCACGCAGACGATGACGCTGGAGCCGACGCAGTTGCCAGTCGTCCACTGTTCCCACTGGGGAACAGCGAGATGATCGTGGACTTGGCACTACGTGGTTGCACGAGTGCCTCCATGGTGTTCCAGTCACGCACCAGGGCACAAGTTACAAGAGCTGAGAAGAGATACCGCTTGGGATCGATGTTAAACTGTTCGCGTAGAGGCCCCGGTTGACACGAACTGTGACGTGTGTGAGACTTTTTGGCGTCACCGTGGTACAGCATCGAGTAGCGTAGGAACTCGCCTACAGTCATGCGATGCACGCATCTCCGAGGGAACGCCAGCCATCGTGGATCAAGCTCTAGACGCTTCACATTGGCAGTGATAGCAGCCACCCATTGACGCTGCACTTCAGGCGAGAAGGAGTCTAAAATCAACTCTTCGTTCCCAGCTGCGTCACAGATTTTGACGCAGTAAGGACGCAGAGAAAACTTGCCACGGTAGTCCAGAGGCTCGATCTTCATGCCTCTGGCAAGTGGGAGACTCCCCTTCTTGTTGCCTTTGCCTGTTTTATCATGGAATGGGTTCTTGGACTTCTCTACATGTAGTTTGCCTTCTTCGTGCTTAAAGTACACGATCTCCTTCTCAGTCAGTTGAATGTATCTCATCCTCCAATTGGCCTGTAAGTTGCCTACGCCTCTCGCTCGTTTGTCCAGATTCGCTGCCATAGAGCGGACTTCGGGTGCAGTGTTGGCATCTTCCTGTTCAGTCTGGAGCTGGAGCTTGGACAGTGCCACGTACTCGTGCAACAGATCCAAAATCCACACGGGGAAGCGATGACGGTAGAACTTCGCGATGTCCAGCACGTCGTCCGTCACTTTTAATGAGCGACTGAGCTCTCTGTCGTAGAATACTAAGGATAACAACATGGCTGCCAGCTCGCGGTATCTCTGGGTAGCTGCGTACAGGTCTAGTAGGCCACGTAGCGCACTTAGTGACACCGTCTCGTTCGTGACCATACACTGCTCTACCAAATAGTGGACCCATTGGCTGAGCGATAACGGGAGGGCAGCTAGTTGCTTGCGGAATAGCGCGGGCGCCATCGTCTCGGACACGAAGAGCAGCACGTCCAGGATCACGGCCGAGCAGCCCGTGGCCTCCGCGGCGCTCATCAGTGCGCATTTGTCGCCGAAAGAGCGCAAAGGAAGACGGTAAAGGTCGCGGAAATCACGCACTGCGTCATCAGGCAGTTCGTTCTCGTCCAGTAGGCCTAAATGCACGCACAAGAGCTGCGCCACGGCGTCCTCCGCTGCCATTATTCACTTTGGCGTCAAATTGAAGAATCAGATGAAAGCTAGCTCAGAAAAATCAAGTTTGATAATGAATACCTTTAATTAGGGCCTACTAAGTAATTTAAAGGACGTAATAAGATAATTACTTGTAGAAACACATCATTATTAGAAAAAAAACCTTACTCAAAATCTCTTTTGAAAATTAGCAAAATTAAAAGTGGTTTTTTGTAGCTCCGGCACATTTTTACTCTTGAGGTATGGCAACCGGTACTACAGTACAAACGGGGTTCCAAAATTGTGCCACCTGAATGGGTAAGACGTGTTTTGCCCATTCAGTGTTAAGTTCGCACTTGCTAGTCAACCAGTTGTGAACGAGCGGCTGTGGGTATCCGCGATGCCTGGAGCTGCGGACGCGAAGGCGCTGGCTACGGCCATGCGCCAGACGCTTAACCTGCCGGCCACGCGCTTTCCGATGCGGGCCAATGCGGCCGTGCGTGAGCCGCAACTGCACGCGCGTTGCGTGTCTGCGGCCTACGCGGAACAGGCAGAGGACACGACGCGGCCGCTGTTCGTGCTTCACGACGGTCCGCCATTTGCCAACGGTAGCCTGCACATGGGCCACTTTTTGAATAAGACACTTAAAGATATCATTAACCGGTATCAACTTCTACGTGGCCGACGCGTGCAGTACGTGCCCGGCTGGGACTGTCACGGCTTGCCCATCGAGCACAAGGCGCTGACGATGCTGCAGCTCTCGGCCGATGAGCTGTCACCTGCCCAGGTGCGCGCACTGTCCCGTCAGCTGGCCCGACAGGCCATACAGGAGCAGCAGAAGGACTTTGAGCGCTGGGGCGTACTAGCCGACTGGTCTGGCGCCGAGGACAGCGTCTACTTGACT